GTGCATTACCCATTTGTACTTATTGTTTTATTTTATTTCAATTATTAAACTTTTTATCTCCATCTCTGAGTCTCCCTTCACCCCTCCAATTCTCTCTTCCACCCCCAGGCAGGGAAGGGTGAGTGAGCGGTTGTGTGGTGTTTGGCTGCCGGTTGGGTTTAAACTATGACAATTAGCTATGGGATTTTTCTTATCTTTTCTTGGGATGGGTTGAAACCCACCTTTCCACCAGACATGGTGTGTAGGGGGGCCAGCAAGGGTCCTGAGAGCTGCTCAGCGTTTCTTTCTCTCTTGGCCAGACACCTGGGTGAGCTGTGGGAACCACCGTTTCCCTGGAAGGTGGCCCTGCCGCAAAAGATGACTTGAATGGAGTGTGGTTAGAGCTTGAGCCACTCTTACTTCTCCTTTTGAGAGGTGAAAGGACAGCCTAAGTGTGGTCAGAGATTTCCTGCACCTACATTCAGTGTCAGGCCACCTGCAGCCCTTGAACTGGAGGTTTCACATCCTCTTTTGGACCAAGCCTACCTCACTGCTGTGGGGACAAGGACCAAATCTGGCTGCCGTGGGGCCTGAGCTCTGGTTTGGGTGAACAGCTGGTGATGAGGAGTCTGGCTTGCCTAGTGCTTCTCATGTGTGCCTGAGGCTCTGAAGGGGTCTACAGCAGCTTGTAAAGGACCTATTCTCAGACTGCCCTCTTACTTCATCTCAGCCCTCTGACCTCTGGCTTGGGCATCCTGGAAGCACTGACACCTTCTGCAGGCTGCGAGGAGTGGCTAAGCGAAGGCTAGTTAGGAAAGTAGGATGCTGGAAGGAGGAGGCCAAGGAAGGTAACGCTAACACCCGGTTGTGCAGGGAAGTTTTCTGCTATTTGCAGTGAGGAGCAGCAGCTGAGGGGCATGGGGAGATCAAGCACAACTTGCAGATGTCCAGGCAGTTGCTGGAGTTCCCATGGAGAACAGTTTTCAGGATCCATCCCTGTAATATTTCTGCATGCAATTAGTGTGGAGCATCTGCAGAAGCCATGCCTACAACTATATACTGGTACAGGAGCACAGGGGTGCATTAAACCAATAGAGCTGCAGGCACCCCTGTGCTCTCTTCATGGAGATGCCTGCTGTGCTTTTTGTTTGCATGATTTTTGAAGCCCTGAATTACTTGTGATATGAGGACAGCCATGCATTTATTTGGGTGCATAAGGAGCAGAGGCCTCCTGAAAGCAAAACACAGTATGGTGTACTTAGGCTTTATCATCTTGGAGGGGGAGACCATGTTACAGATTTATTTCTGAAGGTGGATCTTGTTGCCATTTAGAGTGATTTTAATGTGTGACTCATGTCAAAACTGCTTCGAGGTTAGAAGTGAAATTAGAAATTATGCTGAAAGGGCTGTTATTCACAGGCAAAAATTGATTCAAGACATTGGCCTTTCATTTTTAAGGACTGCAGGCAGGGGAGAACTGTGAGAAGAATAATTTCTGTGTAACTGGAGACTAATCATGAATACTGGCACTTCCTGGTGACGTTAATTAGGATTGAGTATATTTAACTTGCAGGCTGTGTTATATTTCCAAGACATAATCTTGGGCTGGGCTCTTAGACCCTTTTACAAATGAGGCGAGACACGATAACATGAGTGGTTGGAATAAGAAAGGGACAGGGAATGGTGTTTGTGGCTTGGCAGGTGACAGCCTTTCTTCAGGGCTAGCCCCAGTCCAAGTCTTTTCCTGGGAATTGTCAGCACCAGGAAGACGCTCGGTCTGCTTTTCCGGGAACAGTGGTTTGGCTGCTCTGTCACCAGTGTGAAACGCCTTTGCTGGTGACTAAGGCTTGGCTCCAGAGCAAAACAAACCATCTGACAGCACAGGGAGGCTCATCTGCGCCCAGGTTGCAGACTCGGGGGGCTGGGGTTTGATGGGACACCGCACTTTCCTGCGCGGCATGGCAGGAAAGCATCCAGGTGGCTGGGATTTCAGGCACAAGCAAGAGCAATCTCTTCAGGCCTTTCCTCCCCGACACACCAATCAAAACCAGTTTTGGTGCCTCAAAATGTCCGAGCTGCCTGCCCTTTTTTTGGCCGTGTCTCCACCTGTGGGTGTCTCTTGGGGGGTGCAGTCCAGGGGACCAGCTGCCGTCCCTTTGAAGAAGCAGCATACCGATGGAGAAAGGTGCTTTCTTTCAAGTTAGGTGGGTGCAGGACAACCACAACTCCTCTCACACACATGTGTGAGAACCTGGGCGGGGGGAAAACCCACCCAGCTTTTTCCCAGGCTGGTAAGGGAGGGCTGGGCTGACGGGAGGAATTGCCACCAGGACAGAGACACTCTCCAGCTGCTGTACTGCTGCCTGGCTTGGGGGGGGGGGGGGGGGGTGTGGCAGTGAAGGAGCTGGTGTCCTCTTGCAGCTCTGTGTGTAGCCTGACCATAGCGAACCTCAGCGTGGACAAGGCACACTCTGGAGACAAGCAGAATCCTCCAATTAAAAGTGGTGTGTTTTGTTTGTTTGGCTTATTTGTTTGGGTTTGTTTTGTTTGTTTGTTTGGTTATTTGAATTAATACCTGCAATATCAGCATGCAGCAGGGTGGCTGGATGAGATGCCCAAGAATCCTGTCCCTGTCACTGAGGAGCACACACATCACAGAGGCTGAAGTCAAAGTTTGAGAGTCTTGGGAATATCTGCTGGGACCCTCCTCATACTGTTTTTATAGCCAGGACCCCAAGCTGAGTAGGGGCAAAGTCCAGCTCCTCCTGGCAAAGGGAGAAAGCCAGGTCCTTGACATTCAGAAAAAGCAAAGCCATCTCTGAGTTGTCTTCTTTGCCTGCAGAATAACCTCTAAGCCAAGACAGGAATGCCACAGCTGCCAAGGTGGGCCAGCTTGAACCCATGTCTCCTAAGAAAGGCAGATTTAGTAGGTATTTGCACCCAAGCAGAATTTTCTTTCATTTGTTGCAACATGAGAAGCTGTAGGCATTGCTTAGAAATTTAATTTCAGTTGTCTACCACAGACCATGTTTTGCACTTCACTGAGTAACTTAGTCAAGCACCTCCAGCCACTGCTGTTTATGACTAACTTGCCTCTCCAGAATGGTTTTGGACCCCCAGCAGTGCTAGTGGTGGGGCCCCTGGGAGTCTTCAGGTCATCCCCCCGATTAAGACCAGGGCTAAACGTGCTCTAGCAGCTCAGCTCAGAGGTGGCACGGGCTAGAGATAGCCCTAGGGTAGTGGAGGTGAAACCCGTGGCAGCTCCTGATGCACCTCAGGCAGTACAGTGGGCACACACCTCCTTGTGCTCTCACCTCTCTGTGCACAGCACGGCAGGGGGACAGGGTCACACAGAACCCAGCAGCACAGGAGCCAGCAGGGCTCTCTGAAGGTCTCCAAACCTGGCACACGGCAGCTCTCTCCTCGGCACAAGGCCAGGACAGCTGTGGCTTTGTGCAGCAGTGTCTAGGAAACCCCCCAAGGGTGGAGACCTCCTCCCTCCCTGGTGCCCTGTCCTCCTGACCATCCAAGCTGTGGTAGCTTGTGTGGTGGATTCCTATGCTCGTAACAGTGGCAATGAACATACCCACAGTACCTGCCTATGCTGAGGGTGTCTGTGGAGGCACACCATGCAATGAGTTCTGGTTGTGGGTCTGATGTTCGCACTACAAGGAAACAAGACCTACTGGAGACCTTCAATGTTTCCCAGTTTGGCTGTAGAAGCCCTTGAAGCTGTCCGGGCTGTGAAGAGGGTTTTGGAGCTGGGCACCTCCAGAGGTCCCTCCCAACCTGAATTTTCCCATAATTCTTCTGTCATTGCAGGTTTGCTTGGATTTCATTCTTATTTCTCTAAACAATAATTTGTTGAGAACAAATTTGCCATAGCTCAAGCGCTGTTGTGGTCAGAAGGCTGTACAGAGCCTTCTTCCTTTAACTGCTGCCCCAGGAGAGCTTTCTCCTGGCTTATAACAAAAGGGTAGGTTGCCACCCAGTGTCAGACCCTTGACCACCTTGGGCCTTTTGGACTTGTTGGCCAGGTCATAGCACCACGCCAACACAGAGGCCGTGGACTCAGCAGAGGATCCATGGATGGTCCCAGTGACTCGTTGATGATATTCCATGAAGAGTTTTGTACCTCTGCAGTGATACATGTGTGAAAGGGAACCTCCCCTCCCTCCCAGCCCCAGGTGGCCATGGGGAATGTGGGGAGTTGGGCTTGGCCCATCTCCATCCTGACATTCCTCTCACAAATAGCACCATAAGGGAGCACCCAGGAACTGAGGAAGGCTTCTCCACAACCAAGGCGCATGGCAGTGCTGCACTCTCATTCACATGACTGAACCAAGGAAAGTGTTACAACAAATGCCTGTGGTGGCTGCGCTTCCCTGGGATGGGAGTATAATTTCTTTCAAGGCATGTTTAAGCTTCAGGCATCAGTTTGCTGTGTTTTTACTAGCGCCTCTATAAATGCAACAAAAAGACCTGGATAAGAAAACATGCCTCATGTGAAGAACATGAAAACAAAACAAAACAAAACCAGACAAACCCACCTGGGATACATTCAGTGATGCCATTTCTCAGTTACAGGCTGGCTTCAGGGATTGTGATAGCAAATGTTGGAAGATTATTATGGTAACAATTTCACAAATAATTAACCTTGTTGCTTTTCAGCTGCTTACATAAATTGCCAACAGCATCACGTCTCAGGACAAACCCAGCTATTCAAAGTTTGACTAGTCAGGGAAATGACTGTAAGCATCACAAGGGGTCTACAGGTAAGACCCTGAAGAAAACTCCAGCTCCCATTGTTTTCCTCTTTTGTAGATTGGGTATTTCTATTTTTATTGCTTTTAATAAAAGTCTTCCTTTGCCAGGGAACATCAAAAAACAGAAGTGCAGCAACACATGTCTGCAGACAAAAGATGAAGTTCTAGAAAACTGGAAATTTTTATGTATACACACACATACACACATATATATATGTACATGTATACTTTCTCTTTTTTTTTTTTTTTTTACAGTGCTGGGAATAATCATAATGAAGGAGTGGCTGACACAGTGAAAGGCAGATCCTCAGTCCAGAGAGACCTCTCTAAATGCAAAGAGTGGACTACCAGGATGCTCACAAAGCCCAGCAATTAGGAGTGCCAGTGATACCTGGTACACCAGGGTGAGCAAGGGATAACCCTGAGCATCAGTCCAGGCTGGGAAGTGACTGGTGGAGCTGCTGGATAGAACTTGGAGGTAACGGTGAACATGAGCTTGAACACGGGCCAAAAGTAATTCTCACTGTGAATAATGCAGACTTCTTATGGGGCTGTATAATGAGGACCATAGCCAGCCCAGTGGAGGGGTGTCAGAGACTCTCGTGTTTCTGTGCGTCCAAAAAGCTCTTCAAGACAATGCATTGTATTAGGGAGAAATGGGTGATGACGCTGTCAAAGTGCAAGAAATATTTGTTTGCAACCCTCCACAGCCCTGCCGAGGTCGCAGGTTGTCAGACCGGCAGAAACCCAAGTGTTTCATCAGGGAGACTGAAGTGAGCAGGCGTGCTGGCAGAAGATGGCAGGCAAGTTGTTTTGCTGTGTGTTGGCACTGGAGTGAACACTATACAGCTTGCTGCCATGGCCTAAATAATTCATTGCCTGGATGGGGCAGCCATGAGAGATGTGCAGGGTGCCAGCAGTACCGTCCCTTCTGCTTCCTCTTGGGGCCACCTCTCCTGGCATGCTGGAAAGGCAAAGGTTAGGGTGGATCTTGCGACACAGCCTGTTCCTTTTTAAGTCAAAATGGGATTTTTTTGGCAGTCTGCTATCTTTCAGCTTGTTCTTGTGTTTTGCTTCTGCTAGGCGTTGTTTTCTCTGGAGGTCTGGGATCCTTGGCCACACCATGTTTCTAGTGTTGTTCTTGCTGATATCACTGTGGTTTCTGGGTGGGTTTCCGACTATCATGCCATCTCATGTTAGTGGAGCAGGGGTTGCTGAAATGCTGGAGCAGTCTCCGCCCTGAGCTGTTGGTGCAACAGCAGCCCACAGTTAAACATTAGCAGAAGTTACTTATTTCCCCTAAAGGGGGGATCTGTATAGCTCTGCCCTTATTTTGTATTGTAGTCCCAGCAATACTGTAACTCTGACAGCAGGGGTTAGAAATTTGATTTGTTAAGACATTGCAATGTCATTATGTCTGGTGCTTTTTCAGAGTTTCCTGGATGTTACTTGAAACAGGATAATCACTTACTCATGTGCAACCAACGACCACATGGAAGCCGCTCACAAAAGAAGCCGCAGCCTTTGCTAACAAAAGAACTCCTTTCTGTTTTATTTTTCCAACCAAAGTTCCCAAAACAAAGTCATTAAATTTCTCCCTTTTTTCAGACTTGTGTTTGCTCTCACTTACAAGTAACCCCAGTGGGGGGATGGAAGATATGGGACCTCAGTCTTAGAATAAGGACCTTGGTCTGAAGTTTTTCCTGTAGGTAATTATTCCTAGTCCAGAAATGTCAAAATGGGGAAGATTTTTCTTCTTTGTACTAATTTATCTAGTGCATTCACATTACCATAGATGGAATACTTTGGAGAAGATATAAGAGGAGGACTTTAGTTTAATCAGGTCCAGGCACAAATTTTGGACCAACAGCTAATACAGCAGAGCATCAGCAACATCTGTCTCCTCTCTGCACGCAGATCCAAGAGGATTCAAGAGCTATCCAGGCATTTTTATAACAGAAAGATTTGCTTATTCAAGAACCGCCTCCCCTTTTCTCCTCTGCAGTTTTTCTTGTTCTCCCAATCTCAAACCTTTATTAACACCAGATCTGAAAAACATTTCTATGTTTAAATGTGAACACAGATGGGCGTTTGTTTTTGGGGTTGTCAGTCAACCAGGAATGCGTAATCAACATGAGTAATGATTTACACCAAGCACCTCCATCTGCCTGGGCATCCCTGGGAGCCCAGGGCTGGACAGTATCAGGATCTGGGATCGAGAGCCCGAAGCAGGGGCAGGCCAGGGAAGAGTCGGCTTGCCAGCGGGGAATGAAGCTCTGCAGCATTGGGGTAGAGCGGCTGGCACACAAGCACAGCTGGAGCGTAGGAGACGTGGCAGGAAGAAGTGCTGCTGCAGGGAGACATTACGTGGTGCCGAGCGGGTCTGGAGGATGGGTGGAGGCAGCTACGTGCTGTCAGACTGCACAGGGAAGCCGCAGGGAAACCCAGTCCCCGAGTCTGAGGGGGAGCTGGAGCCGAAACAATAAAAGGGCCTCTCGAAGCTCAGACCTGCCTCCTTTGCCCCCCCCCTCTCTGCAGGGCTGGCAGTGAGGACGGCGGCGGGGATGGGGCTTTGTCTTCCAGCGGCAGCAGTGCCGGGCCGAGCCTCTCCCCGCGGTCCCCACTCGTGGTGGTGCGTTGGAGCCGTGCTTCCCAGGCGGTGGTTCAGCCCACGGCTGAATTTTTTCCGGGGCTGGCAGAAGTTGGTTTGCAAGAAGGGAGTATGACGGCATTTCAGTCGTGATGACTGCGGTTTCCAAGGCAACCTGCAGGCGTGAATCAGCATCTCCCTGCTGCCGTGGCCAGAGCGCACAGAGCTGCCTGACTCCGGCTTCGCTCCGGGCATGGCACTAGAAAAGGCAATGCTGGGGCTGGGGAGGGGAATGTATATAAGGTCTGAGCCACCCTGGGAGAGCAGGAAATATGTCAAAAGGAGGATCAGATCAGTTTTTCTGCCAGCTAAATGTGGGGATCCCTTTTGCAGAGTGGGAATTGACCATGCCCACTTGAAGGACATGTGCTCTGTTTAGGGAGGGTGAGGCTCCTCTTAGCTTCCTCCGAACACATCTGCTTGTGCTTTTGCCACGTGCAAGTGTGCAAAATGCTGTGTCCAGATACACACTCGCTCAGGCTCATAGGCAAGAGCAACAAGAGAGCTGAGGCGTGGTCCTTCCTTAGGCACAGAGATAACTGTCTTTGTCTGTGCAGCTCCACCTTGAGAGGACGAGCCACCAGTGTGAAGGACTAGCAAGCACCACTGTGTGCTCTGTACACGACTCACTGCAGCTGAGGCCCTGCGTGGGGCAGGGAGCTGCAAATTACCATTAGCAGCAGCGATGCAAACCCTAGCTTCTGCATCTGTGGGAGTCAGAGGGTGTAAAAGCTCTCAGGCAGATCACCACGCAGCCCTGGTCTGTGAGCATCTGCTTGCAGTGAGGGAACTGGACTGTCAGGAGAAAGTCTGACTGGAAAGGCAGGACTTTACCCAGCATACACCCACACATGCTGGGCCTCCCTGCCCAGGCTGTGCATCCAGCGAGCATCCTCAGCAGTCACTGTGCAGGGTTTGGGTGCCAGAAGAGGTTTGGTGTCTCTGCTCAGAATGTGCAAGGAGACGAAGCCAAGCCAGTGAAAAATGGAAAGGCTATTCTCCCTCCCTGGGACAGGAAAAGGCATAATGCCTCTAGTCATGTGAACACCATCAACATTTCTGGCATTCAAGGTAGGCTTCAGTCTTAAATGTGCAGCAAAATATGTTTTCATCTGATGAGGCAGCTGAAGTATTCAGTCCCCACCCACAGACTGTGTGAACAGATTCAAATTACCAGTTCATTGTCTCCACCTGGGCGACAGGTCCCGGTAACAAATGGCGCTATGAGGATGTGGGGAAGTCCCCCAGTGTTTCTTTAAGTGTTCTGTTTTGAGAAGAGTAAGTGCTGTGTAAATACTGGTGTGCTGGGAGCAAGCTGTGCTTGAAACATGAAACTCCTCTGAGAAAGGTCGTGTGCTTCCTCTGGGTGCAGCGCAGGATTCCTAGCAGGAACCGACCCAAATGAAGCACAAGGTGGAAAAACCTGTCCCCTGTCCATCCCCCAAGGCACTGCTGCCCCTCACCCACTGCCAGCCTTCTTGGCCGTGTGGTCCCTCTTCCTCTCTGCTGTGAATGTGTTGGCATCTGACTTCTAAGGGGCCATTGCCCTCACCCCGCTGGTTTCACACTTCTTCACGACCAAAGCTGTGACCAAACTGCTTTGAACTCCTGTAACCCATGAGCAGCCTCCTTGCCCTGTCTGCCACAGAGGATGTCTGTCCCAAACAACAGCGGAGCCTGCCCTTGGGGCCAGAACAGCTCAAGCTCCTCTCCCCAGTACAGCCACAGCTCCCAGAACTCATCAGCTGTCTCTCAATATGTATGTAAATCTCTGTTTGCAGTAAAGCGAGGCTAACTTACTGGAAGTTGCCCCAAAAAAATGTTGCAACTGAGGCTTTCTCTGCCATAGGATTTTGGTGTTGTTGTTTCTCTTCTATGCGTTGATCCACAGGACTGAGCCTCCTATGTGGGAGTTTGACTCCCCACAACTACCCAGGTTTGCCTGGAGCTGTGAAAATAGCAGCTCCCTAGCCCAGCAGCCTTATTACTTGTCCTGTGGTCCAGTGCAAGATGTTTCTGCCGCCTTTTTAAATACTAGGACCTTGCAGAAGCTCATACGTGACCAGAGACATATATGATGGGATTGATATTTTTCCAGGTGTGGTAGGTCCAGGGTAAGATACACACTGACATTGATCCAGACACAGTGTGGACCCACAACACAATGAAATATTTGGGCAGGTGAGAATGTGGATTTTCAGCTTCTGACCCATCCCCATGCTGCCTGGCTTTTTGAGCATCCTGCAAGCTGTTTCCCTTCTCTTGCTCACCCAGTGGGGTCAGTCTGCAGTTCAAAGAACTTACCCTCTTATTTTAAGGACCTTCCTAATGGATGAAGTGCCTTTGTGGCTGAAGAAAAAGCCCAAAACCCACTGGAAGGAGCATAGCTTTGTAGCAGGCAGATTTTGGGAGTCCCATCAGCAGTGCCTCCAGCCTGTCTGGCATATGGACATTTTCATGGTTTCTGCTGGCAAGAGGTGTGCACTCATTGCACATGCACAGTGAGAGATCTGGATGTCCCTCCTTCAGCCTGCCCAGGGTTTCAGAAGTGGGGAATTGTTTTGTATATGCTGTGCCATGGCTCTGTCCTATGCATGAGCACATTGGAATGTCTTCTGATCCCCAGAAATGTGGCAGATAAGTCCTTGATCTATGACACTGATTTGCTCTCTAGTCAGGCAAGGTATTGCTGGCATCGGGCTGAGGTCAAGAGCACACCTGCTCAGTTTGGTGCCAATAAACCTTTCCTCCATCGAGTCCTGTTTGGGTCAGGATGTTCCCTGTGTACTTGCTTTACAACTGTCTCTTGAGGGGGCCAGAACACCAAGCAGCTGTCCAGGGGTGAAAAGTGTACAACTATGACACACTCCCTTCCCCTCCCTCGATTCTTGACTTCCCAGGTTGCGGTTTGCAGCCCAAACACTGATCTACCTCTCAGCGTGCTCAAACACAGGCCAGGAGCTCCTTCACCACCATCTGTCCTCCAAAACACCCGTGCTCAGGCTCATCTGTGATTGCACGGCTTCCCTCATCCAGCACAGCTGCGAATGTCTTAGTAGGCAATAACATGAAATAGAGTGAAGTGGCCACCAGAGAAAGCAAAACATGCCAAAGGGCTTGGTGGCACTGCTGCCAGATGCCTTCTGCTGCACTGCAGTCCTGCGGTGGGAAGCACTTTCTCCTTCAGCTTTCACAGTCCTAAAGCCAGGTCAGGGGTTGGGATTTGGGGCAGCAGAGGTGGAGGGAGTGGACTGCTCTGCTGGGCCACCACTGCTGTGCAGCAAAGTGCTGAACCACAGAGGGACCATAAGTGATGGGACAACATACACCACATGTTTAGCAGCTGCAGGACTGGGGCATTGCTTTCCCCAGCCACCCTGGTGGGTGCAGCATGAGTACACACAGGCAGCCTGTACACAGGACCAGGGCAAATGTAACCTCTGTACCCACCCAGCTCCCCCATCCTCCCAAATTTCCAGCCTGAAACTGTTCAGGAGAGGAATTTACAAAACAAATGTTGTTATTTGAGGAATGCAGTAAGGGGGGAGGAAGTAATCATAACAGAGATAAGGAGAAGTCAGTGGACTTGACCTCTGCACCAAGCATGCTCCTCTGGCACCAGCTGGTTTAGGATGGGAGTGCAGCCCACCTCCCCCTGCCCCTGGTGCTGCATTAACACCAGCTATGCTGGTGGGAGCTTGGAAGGCAGCTCTGGGGCAGATACAGGGAAAGAAGAAATTCACTGGAGGGGTTGAGGTGGTAGGGCAGCACTTATCCCCGCTCCCTTCTGCGTATGAGGCACCCAGCTCCCCTCAGCAGCCGTCCGCCGGGCTTCCCTCTGGCTTTGTGATCCCAAGGCTGTTTCACTAAAAGCACATGCGGGTTTCAGGTGTCTCCTCAGAGAGCCATGCAGCTGTCCTGCCCCATCCTCCCAGCAGGATTTTTGGGGGTTTATCTGC